TTTCTTTCTTCCTTGTTTTATTTATTTCCTTTCTTTTTCATTTCTGTTTTGTGTAGGGAAAATGAATTGGATCATTCAATCACCAATCCTCGTGGGATCGACCTCGCACTTACATATGCTATATTACCAAACGGCTCGTGCACTTGCGAGTATCACAAGTTGAGGATGCAACTGAATCCATTTTGGTGAAGCTGTATCTACACAACAAGGAGCTCTAGAGAGATGTTTGAGAGCTCCCTCTCCTAGGGTGTGTTTGTAAGCTTGGAGAACTTCACTATTTATAAGCCTAAGGGAAGTAAAAATCTGGTTTAAGTATTGCCTCTACCTATAACACCCACTTTACCAACTTTACCTAACTTCCCTACCAAAAACAATTAGCTCATGCATATGTTATGCATGACAATGCACTGCAGTCTACCTGTAGGCTGATTTTGGGCTCGTTCCCCTTCTCAATAAATTCTGCAAAAATATGGACCTTAAAGCTCTTTGTCTTATCTTTTCAACCATATGTGGCCCATCGCAAGGAAAAATTGGAAAGGCCTTCAAATGTCTTTTTTTGGCACAATAACACAAATGCTTCTGAATAATGAACCGCAAAATGCTCCAGAAACTAGACTCCCACATATTCCCAATGGTGTAAGGCTCATTAGCTGGTTCTTCCTCAGCATGTCTGTCCAATCCATGAAGTTGACTGATCTGCAGACAGGTTTGAGCTAAGTTGACTAAAAAAATGCATTAAATGAGTCTCAAAGCTTAATACACTGAAACAAAGATAAAAGAGGGTTAAAAACACAAGTTTAACTAAAAAACATAATGAAATCAAATGCTTGAAAGGTATAAAATCATATATAATTGTGCAATGATCAGTTATTTGTACCTTCATATGCATTCATCACATGTAGTTAAGCCCACTGAACATATGGCGCGTGAATAGTTTAAGCTGCAAAAAGGTTGTGCCTTTAACCTGTGGTGTTGTTTGGTTCCAGCCAAAAAAAGGTGTTGTCTGGTAGTGCTCTTGAATATAATATGAGTGAAGTATATGGTAACTTTTCACACCAAAAATAAAAGGATGTTGTCTAGTTATACATATCCAATGGCCATCCTTCATAAATTCACTATTTACCATGAATTTTTCAAATATAAGTTGCAAAATATGTTAATGCATTGCTTAGATTAGACTAATCATGTGAATGCATATGTTAAATATGTGCAATTATTGAGATTGATTTTTTTCTTTGCCAGCATGTCCTTCAACCTCCCAGGAGTACCAACAACAATATGAACACCTTCCCTGATAATGTCCAATTGCAAACACATATCCACACCATCAATACAAAGCAAAAGCCTTATCTTTGGATATCCAACATGTCTCATAGGAACCATATACTCTTCCATCACTTCATAAATCTGCTTTGCGAGCTCTCTCGATAGGCAAATGATCAATCCAAAAGGCCCTTGATGAGGAACAATTGGCATTTGAATTTCCTCTTGCATTGCAACCATAATCAATGGTAGCCCAAAAACCAATGCCTTTATTGAGCCAGTAGACGCAACACCAATGGAGGTCGACTGGACAATACCCTCTTTCAGAGTCTACAAAATCGGTTCAGGAAATCTCATCTCCATGAAATTCTTAATACGTGGTGGAACATCTTCACAACTAACTTTGATATGCCACCGCATTTGAATCAAATCACATTGCTTTATTGGCATCCTTCTTATACGCAATGGGGGCTTCCAACTTGTTAGTATAGCGTCAGTATAAGTGATTACCTTTGCCAATTAACCAACATTATCGTTTTGTGATTTGATAAGTTCTCAATAATCTATTTCTCTTGTTGCACCATATGCTGGATTGGAGTAATCTTGGGAGCCTTATGCTTCATCTCTAATGATTTAACAAGGAGACTAGGTCTCCTTGGTTTGTCTTCAGCAACAAAATTTGATTTTTTCGGCTCTGCTTTAACAAAGGGACTAGGGTTTGCATGAGCAGCCAACTTTAACATGTCTGACTCCAATTGAAGCTCTAAAGACGTTACCTTTCGTTGAAGAATCTTCTGAGCTTCCATTGCTCGACGCTTCGCCACTGGTATATATTCAACATAATCATTTTCTTTTTCCATGGTTTTTTTTTAATACAACTTCCTACTTTGGAATTAGAAATTTTGATTATGATCTAAATCCTACTAGGAATTAAAAATTAACATACAGAAATATTAGGATATATCCTAATCAAAATATTTCCCAACCATATTCAACTTTTTCGAGTTGAAGAGGCTGGAACGTACATCACAACCAGTTCTTACTTCAGCCAATGGCCCCAACGCATCGCAAAACGTCCACGGCTCCATGTCCAAAACATGAAACTTTTCTCTGGTTGAAAAAATGAACCAAAAACTGCAGTTCACCAATTTCCTTGATTTACATGGCATCCTCTCCTTTCCTTAATGCGTTACTTAGATTATACTAATAGTGTGAATATATATGTTAAATATGTGCAACATGTCCTTCAACCTCCCAGGAGTAGCAACAACTACATTAAAACCCTCCTTCATAATGTCAAATTGCGACCACATATGCACTCTACCAATACAGAGCGAAGGCCTTATCTTGTCTGATCAACAAGCTTTAACTTGTCTGACTCCACTTCAAGCCCGAGAGACGTTACCTTGCATTGAAGAATCTTCTGAGCTTCCATTGCTCGCCGCTTCGCCACTGGAACATATTCAACATAATCATTTTCTTTTTCCATGGTTTTTTTTTAAAAAAATACAACTTCCTACTTAGGAATTGAAAATTTTGATTATGATCCAAATCCTACTAGGAATTAAAAATTAACATACAGAAATATTAGGATATATCCTAAGCAAAATATTTCCCAACCATATTCAACTTTTTCGAGTTGAAGAGGCTGGAACGTACATCAAAACCAGTTCTTACTTCAGCCAATGGCCCCAACGCATCGCAAAACGTCCACGGCTCCATGTCCAAAACATGGAACTTTTCTCTGGTTGAAAAAATGAACCAAAAACTACAGTTCACCAATTTCCTTGATTTACATGGCATCCTCTCCTTTCCATAGTTCCGAAAACATTGCAAGAAACCCTTCACCCTTATGCCATTCACTCTAGCTCGCTCTCTCTCTCTCTCTCTCTCTCTCTCTCTCTCTCTCTCTCTCTCCCCACACCGCTCTGTTTCTCGTCGTAGGCTTTCCTCTCTCCTTGGGTCATTGTCTATCTCTCTCACCTGTCTGCCATCCTCGTTGGGTTGTTGGCTTCATATACAAATTAGGGCAATTTTATATATTTTCAATTTAGTTTGGTGTTTCATGTTGAATTAAGGTTTCGTTGAAACAAGCGTATGAATTCTGGAAGATTTTGGGTTTGATTTCGTGTGGGTTCAAGGTTTAGTTCGAAGACTGTCAAAGCATGGGTGCAAAACTTGTGAAATCAAAGAAAGGTCCATTTGATTCAGGTGATATATTGGACTAGTTTTGTTGTTGTTGTATGCTCATCTTTGTAGTTTATGAGTTCATATTTCACTATGTTGGGATTGTGAGTCAATGAGCTATGAGTTAGTGTTAGTTATTACTACTAGTTTGGTAGGGATTTTATTTGTTTTGTGGGGTTAGTTTAAATTTGTTTATTGTAACTTTTGTGTTGTTTATACCTTTATATGCATTCATCACGTGTAGTTAAGCTCACTGAACATGGTAGATATAAGTTGCAAAAAGGTTGTGCTTTTAACTTGTGGAAAAGAAAACAAAATATTTCCCAACCATATTCGACTTTTTCAAGTTGTGGAGGCTGGAACGTACATCACAACCAGTTCTCACTTCAGCCAATAGCACCAACGCATCCCAAAATGTCCAATGCTCCATGTCCAAAACACGAAACTTTTCTCTGGTTGAAAAAACCTAACAAAAACTGTCATTCCCCAATTTCCTTGATTTTACATGGCATCACTTCATATCCATAATTCCGAAAACATTGCAAGACCCCCTTCCCCCTTATGTCGTCCACTCTAGCTCTCTCTCTCTCTCTCTCTCTCTCTCTCTCTCTCTCTCTCTCTCGTTATGTATCTATCTCTCTCTCCACCCCGTTCTGTTTCTCGTCGTTGGCTCTCTTCTTTCCTTGGGTCGTTGTCTATCTCTCTCACCCGTATTCCATCCTCGCTTGGTTGTTGGCTCCCTATACAAATTGGGGAAAGTTTATATATTTTGAATTAAGTTTGTTGTTTCATGTTGAACTAAGGTTTCGTTGAAACAAGCGTATGAATTCTTGAATATTTTGGGTTTAATTTCGTGTGGGTTCATGGTTTAGTTCGGAGACTGTCAAAGCATCTGTGCGAAACCTGTGAAATCAAAGGATGGTCCATTTGATCCAGGTGATATATTGGACTAGTTCGTGGTTGTTGTATGCTCAGCTTTGTAGTTTATGACTTTATATATCACTATGTTGGGATTGTGAGTCAATGTCCTATGAGTCAGTGTTAGTTATTACTACTAGTTTGGTAAGGAATTTATTTGTTTTGTGGGGTTAGTTTCCTCTGTAACATTGACTGGAAATCCCGGCGGTTTCCAACGACGTTCCGGCAACTCTAGCCACCAAACCAGTCATTTGAGGTATGCTTCTTTTTCCATTTTTCGTGTTCTAGCTGTCTGCATAGGTGGTTTGGGTCGATTTGGAGTCTTGAGTGTTCGATTAGAAACCTAGGTTTTGTTCGACTTTGAGTTGATTCTCCGACTAGCTCCATCCACTTTTTGGCCTGGGTCCAAGACCAAAAGTGACTCCCCTAGTTGTGGTGGTTCTATAGGTATAGGTATTGGTTTGTGATTTGGACTTTTCCAATCGTCGGAAATTACTCGAAACACTCACGTGCTGTCGGCGCGTGGGACCCATTGTTGATACTCTTAAGGTTCCAAAATAATCTCCATGTCATCCCGAGCACGACGGTATGCTCGGATTAGCAATAGGTTATTGTTTGACTATCGAACGAAACTTCACATATTAAGCTATATTTGGGTTCAACAGGTTCTAACCGTTCGATCGGTCCCATTTTCAAATATGTTGTTCCCCGTGCCTATAGGATCGTGTAGGAACTGGTTGATCGAGAATCGGAGTCCTAGATACTCTGAATCCTTGATTCTAAGGTTGAGTAACTCGGTTACCGTCCGATCTTGCTATCAAGAGCAATCCGACCGCTCGATCGAGACCAAACTCTTGGGACGTATTTAGTAAATTCTGTTGGACCTTTTTGTCATAAGAACTACGTGTGGCTTGATCTCTCACCAAGGGGTACGTAGGTAACCTGGGGTTTCACCTAGGTACAGCCGTGAGAGAGAGAGAGAGAGAGAGAGAGAGAGAGAAGAATCTGGTGGTTTTAAAAATCCAACTTCGAAATATTTACGATTGTGCACTACACTTCCGTTGATCGTAACTTCTTCGTTAAAACTCCTATTTGAGCCCACTATGTGTCTACGAACTCGTATCGACGCGCTCTACGCAACAGTGCCATTCAATTCCCCAAAATTCTAACGGATTAAAAAGTGACCAAACTAACTCTATCCCAAGGGCAAAATTTTAATTTCATAATTAAATAATTAATTTATATAGATTAAATAAATGGTTAAAATTTGGGTCGGGGTGTTACGGTGAATACCAAAAGCTATTGATTATACAAAAAAGTGGATATGGCACTTGTATCTCCATCTGGAAATGTTGTTCGGCAACATACGCCTTGAATAGGGTATGGTTGCGGGAAAGAACGAATAAAAGGAAAGGAACTTATAAAATGTTCAGTGTGTGCCTTGTCGAATTTGAAGTTGTAAATGAATCTAAATTTAATCGTTGGTATTACTTTAAATAATTGTATATTATCTGAATCGTGATTGTTGATATAAGAACTATGTGTGGCTTGATCCCTTACAAAGGGATACGTAGGTAGCCTGGGGTTTAACCTAGGTGCAGCCGCAAAATAAACTATTTGAGTTGTGCTTGCATTGTTCTAAGTGTGGAAATGAATTTTGGAAGAAGAAAGGTCTTTTTTTATTACTGTTACGATATTTGTTACGGGTGTAAGGTTTTGCAAAGGAGTTCAAAAGCAAGAACATTTTAGAAAATGTTTGGTTATGAGGCCAGAGGCCTGTTTGTTTGCTGTATGTGACGGACTTTGTACATACTGAAGTTTGGTGATTTTAAACTGTGTTTTTTTTAGGTTGAAAATTTTGGTAAAGTCTGTTTTTCAGGGGAGACTCTGTCAAAATTTTGGTAGAAGTCTCAACCCTCTTTTCTTTTGTTTTAAGGGAAGAGGAGGGTTGTAATTAGTAAGTGGGTCAAGCATCGGTTGGATGTCGGAAAAACCACAGGATCCGTCACGAATTTTGAGGAATTCGAGGCGGGTTCTGTCAAAGGTTGAGAAATGATTTTTGGAAAAGTTTATGAGTTTGAAAAGGCTTAAGTAAAGAGGTTTTACTTTGAAGGTTTTCAGTTTATTGTTTTACAATGTTCTCCAATAAATTTAGAGTGTAGTTAATATATCGTTTTAATTATAGTTTGTTAGGATAGGAGTCTATTGAATTGAGGTATTTCAAGTTTTGAATGATATACATATGTACGTTTACCGAAGAAATCTATTGCATGATGTTTTGGCATTATTTTCTAAAACGGATGGGGTTATTTATATTTAATATAAATTATGTTTAAAGCTTTATTTTCATCCACTCCCATTTTCTGTTTTGCGTCCCTTAGGTTCTAGATATCTGAGGTAGAGATCACCACGTCGAGGCATCATCGTTGTCCGCTCCGTAAGCTCGGATCATAGGAACTTTCCTTTATCATTCTCTACTTACATTTTTCCCAAGTTGTAAACTTAATTGTTTAGTCGCTCTGCTAGCTTGTTTAAGTTTAGGGTAGAGGGCCTGAGGCCCATTTGATTTGTCTTAACTGTCATGTGTGTTTTGAATTGTGCATGTTGAAAGTTTGGACTATTTATATACTTGTTTGTAGGTACTGTAATTTGAAAAAATTGTTTCAATATACAGGGGAGACTCTGCCGAAATTTCAGCATAAATTGAAGTCTTTATTAGTTTAAATTAGGGCTAAAGAACATTTTAGAAAATTGG